GGTGTAGGGTTTAGGGTTTAGGGGTTTAGGGTTTAGGGGTTTAGGGGTGTAGGGGTTTGGAGTTTAGGGTTTAGGGGTTTAGGGTTTAGAGGTTCAGGGTTTAGGGTTTGGGGGTTTAGGGTTTTAGGTTTTTCGGGGTTTAGGGGTTTGGGGGTTTAGGGGTTTAGGGTTTTAGGTTCTTCGGGGTTTAGGGGTTTGGGGGTTCAGGGGTTTAGGGGTTTAGGGTTTTAGGTTTTTCGGGGGTTTAGGGGTTTAGGGGTTTGGGCGTTTAGGGGTTTAGGGTTTAGGGTTTTGGGGTTTAGGGTTGTGGGGTTTAGGGTTTAGGGGTTTAGGGGTTTAGGGTTTAGGGTGCAACGGTTACTGCAAGGTTCGTTATCAAGATAAAGGTTGCTACACGGGATACTTAACGGTTACTTTAAGGGTTGCTCCAAGGGTTCCTTTAAAGGCCTCTTTAGGCTTACATTTAAGGCTTACTTGAAAGGAATCAGGGTTTATGGGGTTAAGGGTATGCAGTTTAGGGCTTCGGGGTCTTCGGGTTTCTTTGCGGATTACTATCGTTGATGATATGAATCCTGCATGACCCTAAGGACCCTAAGCTGTGGGAATTATGGTATATTCCTCATTATGGGTAATGCAGGATTTATATCATCAACCGTATCAATTTTTTCGATAGTGTAGTTGCTCAACTGCAGACTCCGAGGGCTGTGGTTCTGTGCCCACACCCTTCCCTGCTCAGCGTTCTAGGGTCGGCATGTAGGGTAATGCAGGGTGTAGGGTTTAGGGGTCTATGGTAGGCATGTAGGGCTGGATGCTGCAAGTTGAGGCCGTCTGTCCGGCTGGATCGAGAGGTGGTCACCTTTGGGGCAGGGATGCTTGGCGACACGAGTGCTTCTTTTTGCCCCCTTACATGCAGGCTCCGGGCGAAAATGGTCTGATGAGGAAAATTACATGTAAGCTACTTGAGCCCTAAACACCAAACCGTGAAACAGAGGCGTAAACACTTGTAGACGCTTAGCACCTTACTTCTTTCATAAAATTTGTTTAATTCGTGTTGGTGTTGCTAGCGGTCTTGCTCTTACTCTTGTCTATCCCGCTTTTTCTTTCTTAGGACTCTTGGAGTTGCGGCTATGACTACGTTTGCATTCTCTCCTGTGACTACGGGCTGTGTTTCACATTGTACATTCACCGGTTGAGCCATTGCGTTGTTAGCTTCCTTGCTTCTCATCAGTGGGATCGAGTGTCTGATCTCCTAACCCTCAACCTGAACCCACCCCAAATCCAAAAGCCCCTTATTTGGTGCCGATTCTAAGCCCCAAAACCCTAAACCCTAAACCCTGCATCCTAAGCACAAGATCCCGAAAGGCCCTGAGTTCCAAGTCGAGGGGGTCTGGATAGGCCGCGAGGACCTACCAAGACCTTCCGATACCTCTGAATTAAGGAAAAGGCCTTAAAAATCAAAAATAGGGTTTAGGGTTTAGGGTTTAAGAATATGCCTTAAACATCGTATTAGGGATCCTATTTTTCATTTTCAGGTATATGCCTTGAGTAAGGGATATTGACCGATCATGGTAGCCCCGATGATGAAAAGTGTTGATTTTGTGTGGAACTGTGGGGGAGTAAGCACCCGTGATATAAACCCTAACTGAGAACAGCTGGGATGGTTGGGGCTGGCCTACGTGTTGACGCGAGAGTGCCACAGTAAAAGCAGACCCACCACACACACTGTATATGGCATTAGGGGTAGTTCTATAAATTAGGGTCCCTCTTTAGGTCCCCAATGTAGTAAAGCACCCTTATAAAGGAACCCTAAACAGGACCGTCCTTTAGAGAACTGCTCAGCCCTAAACCCAGAACCCCCAACCCCAAGCCGTGATGATTTTCCTTGCCCAGCTCACCGACCCCTAAAATCCCAGAACCCGTTACTAGAGGCCTCATGGTTTTTAAAAGTGGGTATTGAGGGTTTAGGGTTTAGGGTTTAGGGTTTAGGGTAGTTGGGGGTCTAGGTACACCCAACACCCTTCGATCACAGGATCAGTGCCTGCGCCAAAGGCGGCTGCTGGGCACTGGCTTTGGCGCTCCTGCGGGAAATGCAGCAGGCAGGTTGGGTTAAGGGTTTCGGGTTAGGGTTTACTGTTTGGGGTTTGGGGTTGAGAGAGTTAGG